CGTAGAGGGTCATCCCACTACCTTTCTAGTTGACACAGGTGCAGCCCGTAGTGTTCTTAGGGAACAAGACCTGCCTGACCCTTCCTTCCTATCGGATACCGATGTCTCCTGCGTAGGGGGTTGATGGTACACCCCGTAGTAACCCCCTCACTAAGCTCCTCCATGTTGGGTCACACATTCTCTCTCAGTTTGTTGTTTCCTCCACTTGTCCCATTAACCTCTTAGGCGCTGATGTCCTCTCCCGGCTCCAGGCCTCTAGTACCTTCACTGCAGATGGTCAGGTCCAATTAACCACACCCTTATCACAAAAAGACACATCAGTACTCTGCTCTCTCCCCATACTGTTAAATCTAACTGCTTCCACAGGGAATTCACGGGTCCCACATGCCCCCAGTGCTCTAGACCGGATCCCACCACAGCTTTGGTCCACCGGCCCGGATGACATTGGACGCCTCCAAGTTCCCCCAGTTGTGGTCCAGCTCTTACCTCCCCGTAGGCCTCAGTATCCTCTGAAACCTGCACAAGCTCAAGCCATTACCAAACAGGTCGAAATCCTACTCGCCAAGGGTGCACTCATTAAGTACGTATCTCCATGTAATACTCCTCTCTTCCCTGTCAAGAAGAAGACTGCCAAGGGCCAACCCGACCAATATCGCATGGTTCAGGATCTCCGTGCTGTTAATGAAGTCACTGTCAAAGATACTGCCATTGTTCCAAACCCCCACACTCTTCTGTCCCAGGTCCCACCGACTGCCACTATTTTTACTGTTGTGGATCTGGCTAATGCATTTTTCAGTGTGCCACTAGACCCTTCCTGTCGGTTCCTTTTTGCCTTTACCCACGAAGGACAGCAATACACCTGGACTGTCATGCCACAGGGGGCCCAGAATTCCCCCACACAATTCGCCCGTGCTATGTCTTTGGTACTGGAACCTTGGCAGAAATCCCATCCTGATGTTGTTCTCCTGCAACATGTCGATGATCTCCTTCTCTGTGCTACAGATCTTTCCACTGCTGATATGAGACTCTGAGGATCTCCTATGTTTCCTCGCTGAAGTGGGTTGCAAAGTCTCCAAATCCAAACTTCAGTGGTGCCGGCCCTCTGTGGTCTTCTTGGGACATTGTCTTTCCCATGGCACCAGACATCTAACCTCACAACGTGTACAAGCTATCCTGCAACTCCCATTGCCTGCAGCACATCAGTCTCTACATGCCTTCTTGGGACTCATCACGTATTGCAGGTCCTGGATACCTGAAGCCTCGAAACTCATGCAGCCACTTTATGATACCCTCAGAAGTGAACCTTTTCATCTCTCTGAAGATGCTATTGCCTGTTTTAACAGTCTGAAGAGGGCTATCGCGTCAGCACCAGCCTTGGGCCTTCCAAACTACCAGTTACCTTTCAATTTGTTTGTTTCTGAAAAATCTGGACATGCTTCCGGAGTCCTTACCCAAAAACACGGCTCCAGACAGCGGCCTATTGGCTATTTCTCCTGCATGCTTGACCCTGTTGCTAGGGGTAGTCCCTCCTGCCTCAGAGTGGTGTTTGCTGCCACTGCCCTCCTGGACAAGACTAATGACTTTGTTCTTGGTCACCACCTCACAGTGTTGGCCCCTCATGATATTTCTGCAATCCTTCAGCAAGTTCAACCTAAACATCTTTCTTCTCAACGCCACCTTCGCCTGCAAACTTCTTTACTGTTACCTGACAATGTAACTCTTCAACGCTGTCTCTCTCTGAATCCGGCCACTCTTCTGCCACTTCCCAAGGGGGGAATTGTACAGTACTGGTACAGCTTGGATATCAATCCAGAGATCCGAGCAGATTTGCAACTGCCCGACCTTGCACCCTCACATGATGTGCAATCAGAGAATTTGCTACACTGCACCCTGTGGTTTAAGGATAGTCCAGGCTCTGATATGAATTATGAGGAAGAACTGTTTCAACTCAAGGAAATTCAACTCACGCTGACTGACTTATTATGGGACTCCACAGGTAACATGATCTTATTAGTTCATCTCCCAGAGAATGTGACACATCTCTACCATCATTGGGAAACGGCTGTCCCACACATATCTCTTGCTAAATCCCCTGACATTTCATGGAGAGATTTAGGCCCAATGGCCAAGGCCTGGAATAAAACTGCCCAGGAACAACTGACCTCTATGGGGATAACCAAAAAGGCTATTGACCTCTGTACAGCTGGGTACCCGAGGTACCACACAGAAGTCTGTGAGGACTTACTCACCATAGACTGTGACCCTGACATTCCTCATGATTGCTTTGAACAAATGAAAATGGAAACTACCCACTTGCCAACTGTGTACGAAGCTGCATTGCTCAACCCAGACCAAACACTGTTTGTGGACAGCTCCAGATTTGCTGATGAACAGGGGCAATATCACACTGGGTATGCAGTCACCACAGGATGTCAAGTATTACAAGCAGCCGCCCTTCAGCCAAACAAGTCAGCTCAAGAAGCCAAGCTAACAGCCCTTACCGTGGCCTGCAAGTTGTCTGAAGGCCTACGTGTCAATATCTATACAGACTCAAGATATACCCTGGGAGTGACACATGACTTTGGCCTAATTTGGAAGACTAGAGGATTTCTTACAGCCACTGGTACCCCAGTGAAACATGGGGCAGCCATTGCAGAACTGATGGACGCTTTGGAACTTCCAGCAGAGGTGGCAGTGTTGAAAGTGAAAGCCCATGGAAGGCTAGATTCAGAGGAAGCACGGGGCAACCACTTGGATGATCAGGCCGCCAAGGAAGCAGCACGACAAGGGTGGGAAGTGGACAGAAGAGTGGCCACTGACACAGTACCTATCTACACTATGCAGACATTACCTACGGATCTCAGGCTTCTAAAGGAGCAACAAGCAGCTGCTACTCCCCAGGAGAAACAAAGTTGGAAGAACAAGGGAGCTGTTCTCCGTGATGATGTTTACACCATCAATCTTAAGTTCTGTCTACCCAAGAATATGTATCCAGCTGTTGTCCAATGGGCCCATGGACCTGCCCATTTGTCAAAACATCTGATGAACTCTCTGATTGATAAATATTTTGAAGCACCAGGTATTACTACTCTAACACAGAATTATTGTAGATCTTGTGCAATTTGTGCTAAATGTAACCCTGGGAAGATTGTTAAAACTGCACCCAACCACTTGGCCAAACCACAGTACCCTTTCCAGAGGATACAGATTGACCACATCCAAATGCCAAAGAGTGGACGCTATGAATACGCTCTAGTCATTGTAGATATGTTCTCAGGGTGGCCAGAAGCTTTCCCAGTGGCTAATCTCACTGCGAGGACTACGGCCAAGCATCTTCTGATGGAAATTGTCTGTCGATATGGAGTCCCAGAAGTGATTGAAAGCGACCAAGGGACCTCCTTCACCGCCTCGTTGACACGGGAAGTCTGGTCAGCACTGGGGTGACCCTTGCATTCCACACGCCATATCACCCACAAAGTAGTGGTAAGGTAGAACACAGGTACAGGTACAGACAAGCTGCTCCCTGGTGATTGGGTCATGGTCAAGAAACTTCTCAGGAAACACACCCTTGAACCAAGATTTGATGGTCCTTACCAAGTGCTCCTAATCACAGCTACTTCAGTTAAGCTAGCCGGGAAGAGTTCTTGGATACACGCTTCACATTGCAAGAAAGTGCCTGCTCCAGAAGAAGCAATTCCTGCTGAACCATGAATTTATTGTGTATTCTGTGTTTCCTTATGCTGCTAAGTTTTGCATGGGCCCAACAGGTGGCCATAACCAAAGATAACCATGTTTACACTTTCTGGTACAATTCTTCTAACACAGATGTAGCTACCTACACCTTTGACTACTGTGACATTGTTGCTTGCACCTTCCCACAAACACAATATGCTGCCATATACAAGGACATACCTAACAAAAAAGATCCATACATTTGTGTGACTGGAGGAACCTGGGGGCATCACTGTAGTTCATGGAAAGCAGCTGGGTGGAACACGGGTAGACCATGGGGCTACAGACCCCAGAGTGCATTAGACAGAACTGACAAAGACGGAAAACCTCTACTCTCCAGAATGACCTTAAGTAAACCTATTGGGTCGACCCCTATCAAACTTACCTTAAACATAGAGCACCCCAGCGCAAAAGATGCAGGGGAATATGTAATGAGAATGTACTGGAGGGGAGGCGGCTCATACAATAAATAGTAAAATTTTATCTGCAAGACATGCTTACTTCACCAGATTTTATCTGCAAGACATGCTTACTTCACCAGACTGGGTAGGAACCACTCACATGACTATTAACCCATTGAAACCACATATTAAGACTCTACATGATATGGTATCTATAGCCAACCCCACCTTTGAAGACACCATGGCAGTAGAAACTGGGTTCTCAGACACAAATTGGTTGGAATGGATGAGATACAATGCTAACTCACACAATAAGACCAATTGTTATGTATGTGGAGGAGCCAGACCCCATCTGGGTACAGTTCCTTTAAGTTTACCTCCTGAAGTAGAATTATGTGTTTTAAGCCTTTATGCACAATCCACCACAAATTCCTCAACATGTGAATCATGGAAAAAGGTTTACCCAATCACCCAAGGACACGTTAGACCACCCGATGGGGTCACGGTATATCCAGGTAATTACACGTGTTATTCGATACCTAAGAACACTGGTGTATATTTGGGCAAATTCCCATCTGGATATTGCTCAACCTACCACAGCCCGCCTGTATCACTGCTAATGAATCATACAAAGACAGTTGGAGACATATATTGGTTATGTGGCGACAGACAGTTGAGGTCCCAACTAGTGGGGCAATGGTGGGGGGAATGTACCTTGACCAAGGCTATAATGCCCATCCACATCATTCCGGACGGTAGCCATAACACATTAGACCACACACACATACATCCTAGAGCCAGACGTGAAGCCCCCGTCCGAGGGAGCTTCGACTCCCATGTATATATTGATGCGATTGGTGTGCCAAGGGGGGTGCCTAGTGAATTCAAAGCAAGGGATGAGGTGGCAGCAGGATTTGAATCCTTGATTCCAATGATAACTGCTAACAAGAATGTCAATTGGATCAATTACATTTATTATAATCAACAGCGATTTGTTAATTACACTAGGGATGCCCTACAGGGCCTGGCAGAACAATTACAAGCCACCACCCAAATGACATTTCAGAACAGAATGGCTCTAGATATGATCTTAGCCGAGAAGGGGGGCGTATGTAAAATCTTCCCCGAGACTATGACATGCTGCACATTTATTCCAGACAACACTGGGCCCAATGGTAAGGTAACTATGGCCATAGAGAAGCTAGATAGCCTCTCCGATGAGTTGAAAAAGAACTCAGGAGTCACTGACACTTGGGACAGATGGTTTGGATGGATGAATGGTTGGCAAAGAACCCTATTTCAGGTAGGAACGGATGTTCTTATAATGATTATCTTTTTCTTATTCCTAACCTGTTGTGTGATTCCTTGCATACAGAAGTACTTACAGAAAACAGTAGGGAAGACTATAGATGACGTGATCCCTACTTTCCTACATCAAGATACCACAGACCTCGATTGTGACACCCCACATACACCCCTCCAATCACATCAGTTCAAACAGACAACTGCATTCCTGTAGGGACAGTGTAGGGAAAGCGTCTGTCTTTACGAGCAAGTCTCACGTGCGGAGATGTGGTGGACTAGCCGCCGCGGGTTACCCACGGAGTGAAGTGTTCAATGCTTGTTAAGACAGATGAGCTGCAGGCAGCTAGGGATACGCTAGGGACAGTGGCAGTTGTTATGTTAAATAGCCATTTTAAGGGGGGGCTGTTGTGGAAATAAGGTCTTCATATATTTCCTAGTTAGTAAAATGTCTATTTACTCATTTCACAAAAACCAGTGTATAAGCTATACACATATATTTTAGTCAAAATGGCTGCTAGAATCTTCTAACCCCTCCTCCCCAATAACATCGACTAACTACCTCGTGCAGCAAGATGGCGCCGGGAGACCGTGGGAGACCCTCATGGTCCCGGTGACATCACCCTCAGTAGGCAGAGCATTAGGAAGACCACTTAACACCTAACCAATTATTGATGTATTATTCCATGTTATCTCTGACAGTACCTATGATGTAATTTTGCTTTAGAAGGGACTTGCCGTCCCTTCTGAATAAACTTTCCTCAAGTTATTCAACAACCTGGAACCTGTGTCTGGTGTGAATTACTTCAGGGAGCGTGCACGCATTGTTTCACTGATTTGGCCAGGGGCAGATACACAAAGAAATAATCAATTTATTAGTTGATTTTTTCCATTTCACTGGCTATTTAAAAAGATAGTCAAGATATTGCACTATGGGTTCCAGGATTCCACCCACTGCAGAGACTATAGGACATCCAGGAGGTGAGGTGGAATTTTTATGGATTTTTGGAAGCGTATAAATGATTGGAGTGCGGGTACTATGCTTATTTAAAAATTGATATAGCTTTAAATCAATGTATCCTGCTGTTAAACCAAATGAAAGGATCTCATAGATCTTCTGTGCAATTTCCCTTTTAATATTGGATAGGTGTTTTTATAGCCTAATTTTTCTGTGTATCTCCAATGCATATTCATCATAATCCTGTATGACATGCTGGCCTAATTGTAATGGATGGATCATTCGATAAAGGTTGAATAATCTCGTTTTGTTTCCTGGATAAGTTGGAATGCTTAGTCTGATGTGTTTATAATATTTCCTCTGCTTTAAATTTTACTGTCGTTAAGAATGTTTTAATAGAAGAATGGCATGATTGTTTGCATGGGCGGGAGGACGTCTCGGTTTGATCGCTGACCCATAAAAAACTGACCGTTTTCCGTGTTGTTGTGCCTTCACTCTCGGAGGCTGACTCCCCAGTAGTGACATCAATTGTTGAAACATTTGTTCTTACAATTTTCTTCCGGAAGCATCTTGGTCGTGATCTCTGGTCCCCCGATAACCATCTATACACTTGATTCTCATTGTAATCCATCTGGACCCTTTCCATCTTTTGCCGTTTAAATTTGACTAGTTGATTTTTTATATTTCAAGACCTCCTGATTGAGTTTTATTTGTTGATTAATTTCTTCCTGGGAGTTAAGGAGGACTGCATGTTCATTTTCAATTTGTTGAATCTTCATTCTGATATCCTGTAGGTCCTCTTTAACATCCTGAATTATAATTATCAGGTCCATAGAGCACTTGTTAAGGACCGACGTCCAGTCTTTCCTGACCTTAGGTTTCAGGCTGTCGGCACTTAGGTGTACTAATAAATTGTGAGATATGGTGTAACACAATTGTGGCGTTGGAATATAATTTTGTGTCTATTTACAGTGATGATTGAAATCTCCGTGGGTGGGCACCCAGTCTGGGATTTACAGGCAATAGTGATCTACTTAGCCATAATTACGCATGCGCCAATATCTGCTAGGAGATACAGAGCGCTCGTTCACTTGATGCCCGCTGAGCATCTGACAGGATATAAGCATCGATCGGATGATCCACGTCCTGGTTACCATGGGGACAGTTCTTACCATGTGTTAAAGGACCACTATAGGCACCCAGACCACTTCAGCTTAATGAAGTGGTCTGGGTGCCAGGTCCATCTAGGATTAACCCTTTTTGCTGTAAACATAGCAGTTTCAAAGAAATCTGAAATTGATTGTTTGATTTGCTTTACATCACCAGCAGGGGTCAAGTCCTGGGGAAAAAAGTGTGGGAACTCACCCAAGATTCCCGCCGTCCTCCCCCCCCCCCTTTAAAAAAAAAAAAAATTACACTCCTATGCATATAGTGCAGTGCAGGGTGTGTATAATGAATGTAGTGTGTTTGTAGTGAATGCAGAGTGTGTATAATGAATGCAGTGTGTTTTTAGTGAGTGCAGAGTGTGTACACATGCAGTGTGTTTGTAGTGAATGCAGAGTGTGTATAGTGAATGCAGTGTGTTTGTAGTGAATGCAGAGTGTGTATAGTGAATGTAGTGTGTAGTGAGTGCAGAATGTGCATAATAAATGCAGAGTGTGTATAGTGAATGCAGAGGGTGTATAGTGAATGTAGTGTGTTTGTAGTGAGTGAAGAGTGTGTATAATGAATGCAGTGTGTGTGTGCGTGTGCGCGCTGGATGACGTGTGTGTGAGTGCTGATGATGTGTGTGTGTGTGCTGGATGATGTGTGTGCTGGATGATGTGTGTGTGAGTGCTGGATGATGTGTGTACAATGAATGCAGTGTATGTAGTGAATGCAGAGTGTGTATAATGAATGCAGCGTGTGCTGGATGATGTGTGTGTGCGCGCGCTGGATGACGTGTGTGTGTGCGCTGGATGATGGGTGTGTGCTGGATGGTGTGTGGGTGTGTGCTGGATGAGTGTGTGTGCTGGATTATGTGTGTGGGTGCTGGATGGTGTGTGTGCTGGATGGTGTGTGTGTGCTGGATGGTGTGTGTGTGCTGGATTGTGTGTGTGTGTGCTGGATGGTTGTGTGTGTGCTGGATGGGTGTGTGTGGGTGCTGGATGGTGTGTGTGCTGGATGGTGTGTGTGTGTGCTGGATGGTGTGTGTGTGTGTGTGTGCTGGATGATGGGTGTGTGGGTGCTGGATGATGGGTGTGTGGGTGCTGGATGATGGGTGTGTGAGTGCTGGATGATGGGTGTGTGAGTGAGTGCTGGATGATGGGTGTGTGAGTGAGTGCTGGATGATGGGTGTGTGAGTGCTGGATGATGGGTGTGTGAGTGCTGGATGATGTGTGTGAGTGCTGGATGATGTGTGTGTGAGTGCTGGATGATGTGTGTGTGAGTGCTGGATGATGGGTGTGTGAGTTCTGGATGATGGGTGTGTGTGTGCTGGATGATGTGTGTGTGTGTGTGCTGGATGATGGGTGTGTGAGTTCTGGATGATGGGTGTGTGAGTTCTGGATGATGTGTGTGTGTGTGTGTGAGTTCTGGATGATGGGTGTGTGAGTTCTGGATGATGGGTGTGTGAGTGTATGTGTGCTGGATGATGGGGAGGGGAAGCATTTTTTTTTTACTTTATGTGTCTATATTTTTTTATTTTATTCCCCCCTCCCTGCTTCTTACCTTGTCAGGGAGGGGGGAGATCGCCTGGTGGTCCGGTGGTATGCTGGAGGGAACCAGCAGCTGCACAGAGGGGCCATCACACGCAGTGTTCCCTCTCCAGCTCTAACTCTCGCGAGACTCGCCTGTGCGGAGCGTTGCCATGGTAACAGCCGCGGGTCTCGCGAGAGTTATAGCTGGAGAGGGAACACAGCGTGTGATGGCCCCTCTGTGCAGGGACCAGGGCCGGTCCTGCAGGACAGGTAACGGGAACGGCGTTCCTGCTTTGGAAAAAGTGCAGGAACGCCGTTCCCATGCGTTCCTGCAGGACTCGAGCCCTGATCACCAGTGTTTGTCCTGTGGAACTGAAACATTGATAGTTTGACACTTTTTCCAGTAATTTCTGTGTGTGAATTACCTGGGAGTGCTGATTTTTTTTGTTCTCTCTCTTTCTCTCTCTCTCTCATTCTACGTGTATATTTATGTAATATTTTTGCATAATTATGTAATTTCATTAATTAAAATGTGAGAGTCCTGCCTGACCATCCGGCAGAAAGTCCAGATAATTAAATTTGCAAGCCTTGTAACTTTTTGAAACACCATAAAACCTGTACATGGGGGGCACTGCTGTACTTGGGAGACTTCTCTGAACAAAAATATGAGTGTTTCAAAACAGTAAAACATATCATGATGTTATCATCAGTGAAAAATTATGTCTTCTTAAAGAATTCCCTGATGATTTAGCTCCACACAAAAGTTATGTTAGGCCATTTCTTCATTGCAGCCACATTAGTCATTCCCAGACATTGGAAATCAGCTGTTATTCCATCCATCAATTAAGTTTTTCTATTGGTTTGTGAAAATAAACGTTGTGAACTCTAATTTCAAACACTTTCTGCAGCTAATGTAATTCTCAGTCATGATGGGTCTGAATGGAAAAAAGACATGAGGAGTAAATATAACATATAGCTATGCTCTCCACCTGACCGAACAATAACTTATTTGTTTTTAGTTCATGGTTACATACACTTTTTAATTTGTGACTTACTAATGAACATATGTTATTCTTACATTTATATGCACATGCAAAATTGTTTTACATCCATATTATATCCAAAATAACCTAAT